GAGTGTATATATATATATATATATATATATATATATATATATATCTTTTTTCGAAAATCTGTTACTTCATTTTTTAATAATTCTGACAACTATAATAATAATAATAATAATAATAATAATAATAATAATAATAATGGAGAAAAGATAACAGTGTAGAAAAAATAGGAGGTGAACTGAGTCGACGATGATCTTAAACCAAGCAAGGGACGGGTTAAATACTTGCAGAAAATGACAAATGTGAGACAAGACAAATGTCTCATCGGAGTGGTTCAACGCTGTGGTCGGACTATCTGGGGAAACAGCAAACACGGACACAAAAACAAGTGAAAGCAAAGAGGAATGCTGACGTGACACTTGAGGGGGTGGTTGATGGTTCCCCCTCCTAGGATTCTTCACTTACATTCCAACACTTTTAGTCTTTCATCTTTTGTCGTCTTATTACACAGAGAGAGAGAGAGAGAGAGAGAGAGAGAGAGAGAGAGAGAGAGAGAGAGCATAGGGGATAAAAGTCACGAGAAGAAGAAGAGAGCCAGTCACATGTGGGGGGAGTGAGTGTGTGTGCATTGCATATAATAACACAAAGCGCCGCTCCAATTCATATGAATCCCATTGTTTAAACCCCTTCACATTCACCACACTTCCCTGTCAAATCCACTCCTACAACCCCATCTCTCTCTCTCTCTCTCTCACTTTCTCTCTCTCTCCCAAATATCATGGGGGGAGACTGGAAAGCAACATAACTGCTGAGTTTGAGTTCTACTTACAATGGAGGAGTAATGCATGCCAGTAGCTTCCCACACACTTCCCTTACTTGAGGGCAATGATCTGATAAAGATGCTTTCGAGAGAAGGTGTCTTGCCTCTATCAACCCCCCTGAAATGCTCTCCAGAACTGCGTCTTCGCTCGCCATAAGCGATGCCATCAGTTTTGCACCCGCCAACTTTTCCTAAACACAACACCGATAACCCGAGTTATTCGCCAGTCAGCAATATAAGCTTAAACTCAGAGGTCTGAAGATGCATACTAATTCACATGCTCATAAGGTGGAGAGAGAGAGAGAGAGAGAGCTCCCAGGTTTTGAATAAAAAAATTTTAAGTTGCAGACGAAAGTCTGTGCACATATTTCTGGATTAAGGTTAGAGCTTGAATACCTTTTCTGATCCTTGTTCAAGAAATCTCAGGGAGAGTTTAAGCAGATCAGCTGAATAAGGAAGAAGCACTGACTTCAGATGGTATGTGGCTGAAAACATAACCTGGATACAAGCTGCTCGGACCTCACCCTCACATATGACCTGCCAAATTCCACATCTATCGATTCAAAACAGAACAATACCAAAGCAGTTTTAACGTTGACAGAATGGAAGTGAATGCAAGCCATTATATTACCTCGAGGGAATGAATGAGAGACGGAAGAGTTTTCCGAGCAAACTTCTTCTTTGCAGACTCGGAAATCTTTTGGCAAACACTGATAAGAACATTTGCCATGCATAGTCGAAATGGAATAGGAAACGGAGATTCACCCTTATTAGAGTGTTCATCATCCAGCTCGGCCATGGAAGAGCGCTCACTTCTATCTTGAATTAGATGGTGAATCACATATGTTAGGACAGAGTCCCTTGATGCATCACCGCCTAAAAATTGACAAAGAGATCATATAGCATCTGCCAAAACTACTATCAACACTAAATCATCTGCCACAACTACTATCAACGCTAAACAGATACAAGAGCAACAATTATACCAGATGTGTCCTTCCCTCCTGTATGTACCCCATCACTTCCAGAAGGTTTAGGTGATTCGACGGGTTGTAGTTCCGTACATATCATAAGAGCTAGACAATCAATGCATCCATGCTGTGCTTTGGAAACTGCAAGGACAAATAGCAGCCATGGCGTGAGAAGAAACTGAAGAAAAGTCTAGCCAAACTTGAGAGAGATAAGTCAATTGCCAGTTTCTTACTTTCACTTCCAATCGGAGGCCATAACAAAACAGTTTCCAACAATTTCCTGATCTTAGGTGTTGCGGGGTGCGAGAGAGATTCCCAACCTCTGACCTACAAATGATGGAAAAATCTATAAGGTACAAAATAATCTGATTAATGATCCAAGAAATTAGAGAAAAAGAAGGGTAGCAAAAGCTGATTCAAGCAAGAAGTAAAAAACCCACGAGAACAAAGAGAAGACATAAGACATTACCACAAGAGAAGTGCATATAGAAAACAAGCAAGCTTTTATTATGAGAATATCTTTCAACCCGGCAGCTTCTTCTAGAAGGAGGCTAACAATCGGGAATAGCACCTGTGGAATAGAAGAACGTGAACAACTTACAAACTAGGGTGGAAGAGCGAACAAAGTATTCGTGCAAGAAGTCAAATGCGGAACATGGTTTTCAGAGATTAAAATAAGTACGGCTTTTACTTGACCGAAATAACTAGTTATTAGATATGGAAATTGTGGGTGTTGTCATCTTACAGAAGTAACTAAGAAAAGGTCTGGTTGAAATTTGTCAATTATGAGTGCAAACTTGAGAAAAAGCTTGTTAAGAACGTTTAGATTTGCAGCAAGTGACTTGCTTTCTCTCACACAACCTAATACCAATTGGCATACTTTATAAAGAGGAAAAAGCATGTTTTTAATATGGAAGATGGGTAGATATTTGACCATTCAGGAAGATGGGGAGATTATTTGACCTTTTACAAACAATCAACCAACAGTATAAACTAAAAAAAGGAAATAGCATAACACCTGAGGATGGACGCGTCCACATAGCTCGGCTGATAGTTTTCGTACTTCTTCAAATTCAAACTTTGAAAATGCCCTGAACAAGGAAAAAATAACACGGTAAATATCAAGGTGTCACTGAGGAGAGGCTCGATGATTCCTGTGAAAGGAAACCAACCTTTTCAAAATGAAAGCAACAATACATTGGTGATCCTCAAATTTGATGTCCTGGTTGTCTAAGCCTGCTTTGTGGGGGAAAACAAAATACCACGATATAAGTCTAGAGATGCCGGAACCTTATTTCCAAACAATAAGAGACAAATAAAACAGGATAAATATTCCACACCCCTTTAACAAGAACCACAATCATACCTTTAGTGGTGTCTCCACTAAGGAATTGACCGTACATAATAGAAGAATCAAGATCATTGAATACTCTTTGAGGAAGCAGCCTTAGTATAAGCAAAGGACAAAGGCGGTCAAACAGAGATTTCTCTATCAATTCGGCTTCACCAGTGGAATAGCTTTTAGTACTAGATCTGGATAGGAAGTTCACATGCATCATATCATCAGAATGACATTAATGGAGCAAAAGACATATCCCTTTGAAGGAATTATCAAGAGTTGGAGCGATGAGAATTTGAATTCCAACATTAACCAAGAAATATAAGCTGCATATACCCATTTTGCCCCTTCAAACGTGACAGTACACGCAGGAGAACTGCATTTGATGCTTTTGCCAAGTGCTCACCGGTGTAACTAAGGAACCTAACAATGGTGGCATTGGATGGCTCCGAAAACATCTTGTCAAGTAATGGTCCAATCAGGATATTCCAGTTCTGAACCTGTTAAACGATATGTTTCAATAAAACAGCTAAAAGATAATAGCTTCCCTCGAATATATGATCTAATCACTGCAGGTACAAGCTTTGGCCATTTCAGAGACTTCCACATGCAAAAACAGAGAATTAAAAGGGCTTCGAACTTAAAGAGTAAAACCAATGCCAAGAAAGACTGTACAATGTTTAGATTTTAATTTTCAATTCACCAGTGCTACCAGAGGCCTCCACAGAGTATAAATAGTCGCAGTCCAAAATTGACCAGGACTTCACTTGAAAGATAGTGGATAATGTAGAAAGGAGAACAGTAGCATATTGTACTTACATTTTTAGCCCATTCTGGGATCAACTTGAGCACTCGATCATTGTCAGACTTTGAACCTGCAAAAGTTCAATCAGATGATGAGCCTGCACCAACTAAAAATACTTATGATAGAGATGTGGGCATCGTCCATAGACTTAAAAATTCTCAAGAGGAACAGTTGAATGGTGTATCCTATTGATGGCCGTAGAACGAGTCAAGATGAGTTTTTGGTTGAATGTCTCTATAACACAGATGTTATGTTTAGAATGATACCCAAAAACAGAAGTTTACTGAAAGAAAATGGTATCAAAAACCATAAATGGCTAAAAAGTCTATAGTACCAGATAAATAACAATTTGCATACCTTCCGTGGAATGTTCTGAAGTTCCTGGAGTATCCAGAGCTTGAGTATTGCTACTACGAAAATATAGATCATAATGTTAGAAGATAAATGTTGACAACTTTAATTGATGAAACCGTTGTCAAAATCACATCGGGAAGCTATCACAAGTACAGGCCCACCTCAAGCTCCATTTAGAAACTATACACGCCCATCAAATCCAACTCTACCTATGTGTCTATATGCATGAATTGAATGCTCACTCTAAAACCAAGGCAAAGAAAGAAACCAGATTTTCTGCATATGAAGCAAAGTTCACACTCTCGGAGTTGACAATAGTTTGTTATCTTTCTTTTAGGGTTAAAAGAGACTAGAGATTACGCGTGACAGAGAAGGAGAAAAAGCATGATACCTAAGACAATCCAGCAACAGACATATCACATCAGATTCCTCCTTATGATGTTTAAGGATTCCCAGCAACACTTCAGTAGCCTGTGACAGCACTTTTCCATCAGCCGAAGAGATTATAGATATTAAAGCTGGCAGCACAAGAGATGGCTCTGCAAGAGAGAACAGAAATAAAGAATGCAATCGATAAGCTTTTCCTATATAAATTTAATAAATAAACTAGAGTTATTGTATTATTGAACCATGATAAAACAATTACACAGCGATCCTTAGCAGTCCTAATCATATGATAACTGCTTAACAGAAGTCTTGGCATAAATTTTATTAGCATAATTGCAATAACTTAAATCTCTACAATTGCAATCCAGACAACTTCTATAATACAACTCCAACGAACGAAGATCTCTTTTTTAACAAGTTTTCTTACGTGCCCCATAAAATAAATCTTGTGAAAAAGAGACAAGAGATAGGTACTAATAGAAAGTGTTGTAAAATTGCCCTGTGACAAGAAAAATCTTCGCTTGCTTTCCACCAGAATAGCACATATGCTCCCAAAGGAGTTGTGTGCAATGACAAAAGAATACAGACCTATTAACTTAAGCAACTCCACGGTATATAAAGTAATGGAGGTTTCCTCATCTCCAAGACACTTTAGTAAGCAGTCTGTAATCTTGTTCCTGAAATCATTGCAGGAAATTATAGGCGATGGTGATGCAAATAAAGTCAAGAACCTAAAGAAAATTGAGGAAAGGAGAATGTATATCCATCTCATACCAGGGTATATGGGAAGGGAAAGGATCGTTCGACATGTGAATGATTTCTGATATCACATCCATAGCATTCATCCTCTGCACAGTTGTTCCAGAAACAAGACGCTGTAGAACTTCATTCAGGCAGTGATTATCTGTACTTCTGGTTAACATTTCTCCAAGTCAGAAAAACTATGACCATGACTGGGGAACACACGTGAAAAATCCTTTCAGGTCTTAGTATTAAAGGGAACAAGAAGAAAAATACATGGAGCAGTATTCTGCTATGAGGACGATGACAGCTTTGGCTGTGCCATCCCTCTCATCGAGAATGTGAAGCAGTGATGGTATCATGATATCCATGTGCCTGGTCTTTAAGGAGCTGCCTCCAGATGCAGAATGTTGCTTAAAGACGGTTGCCTTCAGTATACCAACAACACCATCAGTAACACCTTCATCGTTACAACGAAGCTTCAAAAAATAAAAAGGATAAAGTTAGTACAAAAAACTTGATAATGGCAAACCCCAACCATAAGAATTATCCTAGATGCCACTTGTTCATATCGGAATGTATGAGAACCATAGAAGCATGGGAACGAAACCATAATTACAAGTCAAATTGAGTCGGTTGTCGCTAAAGCTTAAGTTTTTATATTTCTTGAGAAGTAATACCGCAACCACGTAAAGAACTTCCATACAAATTCTCTAAGAAGTGTCATTTCCCCAAATATAAAATGACAGGTTCACATTATGGAATGGACAGAGATACCTGATGCAGAAGAGAGGGCACAAGCCGTGTTCCATATTCCAATGTTATGCTTTCGAGTTTCTTGCCCTCAAAACGCCCCAACAAGAGGCATAAACAATTCACGAAAAACTTCTGTGTCTCTATGCCACTATTCTTGGCATTAGAAGATCCCTGAGAATGGCTTTCTGAGTAATACTGCATAAATTTCATTGTTATTAGCAACTGAACAACCAATCAAATGGTAGCACATTAACAAGAAATAAAGAATAAAGCAAGTAAATAGGAGTCTGGCAATTCACCAATATATTACTTGGTGAACTGCTTAACTGAATGCCTCTGGCAAATACTGAATTATGCAAAACTTAAAATCCAGATAAATACTGCTCCAGCAATTCCTTACTGAACGCCAAGAAAATGCCACACAAATAATCACAGACAAATAGGAGTATATCTAACCTGAATGCCAGACAAATATTGCTCCAAGAGGTCCTGACTAAGCTTTGAGAACTTCAGGTCTTCCAAGTGAAGCAAGACACTGTAATGTTTCCAACAAGAAGAGAGCAGCAGAGCTCCATTCATGAAAATCTCTGTATCTTGCTTCAAGCATTAAAAAAATTGTTATGCCGATCAGAAACAAACACAGAATAGAAACATAAGGAGGTAATACTTATCAACGACCTGCCTCATCTTGGGCGCCACTATGATGCAACTTTATCTCTTTTAACCACCTCAGCACTTGATTCAATCCTTTTGCATGTAATTGACGGTTTTTTCTGTTCCACTGGAAGGATATTTTGTGGTCAATACTTCTTAATTTGCGATCAAATAAAGCATGGACAGAAAACAAGTGGAAGTAGCACAATCACACAAGAGAAATGAACAAAGTTCACACATAATTTAGTAGAGCAGTAGACATACAGCCAAGAGACTCTGCACTAGACAAATGAGCTCCTCCAGGTGGTTCCAGAGTGTACACCTCATCTCACAGTTCAAGCCTACAGGTCCAGGGGTCTGCATTTTTCTCCTCTCTGTGACATTAGGTATTAGAGCAACCGGTTCACTAGACCTGGGAAGGCTTGGTGGCTTCGGTTTCTTAGCAGGAGTCTCATTGCTCTTTGCTAATGCTCCAGTAATTGACAGCAAGCAATCAGCAGCAGCGACAGAGAGACGAGTTGGCAACTCAAATCCATCCTGCAAAATGCTAGACAAACTAACAACTGAGAAAAAGGAGAAATAACAATTTTTAATGCAACAAAATTGGCACTCTCACACCAAATGTGTAGTTGCAGAAGGATATAGTAATTCTGCGACCGTAATAACAAAACTATGAGCTGATAATAGAAAGGACTTATATTGCACACATCTTAAATAGAAAATGATGATGATGTACCTCCCTTTCAGCAAAATCAACGACAAGTGAGGAACGGCAGAAGAAAATATCTTTACAAGCATATGATGCTTCTCCCTAATTCCTGCCAGACAAAGACATCAAGACAAGCCCACGGATGTTGCCCAAAGTAAGTTCAGAATTAGGAGAACCCCATTGTTACAAGACATAAATGGATACCAAACAACTCATCAAATAAAATTATCAACATTATGCTTCTTACCAGGCAGAAGCTGTTGATCATCGTTACCCTCACACTCTACAAGAGCACGGACAAGGAAGCACCACCCAAGTGCCAAAAACCTATCCTCTTTCTTCACAATGATTTCTGAAAGATTTCTCGCCACATCTTGAAAGAGAACCTCATCTTGAAATAGCCAATTTAGGAGTATCAACGCTTGGCTACCATGCTTAGTATCCTTAAACCTTAATGTCTGAACAGACAAGGTGATGAAACAAATAAGAACAGACAAGAAAAGCATTCTACCAAAAAAAAAACAGACAAGTAAAGCACCGACTTTGAGATTAAAAAAAATAATTAGGGCTTTAGCAGGGTTTAGATACATGTTCGATGATGGGCACAAGAATCTCGTCCATTGATTCATCTCTCTCAGCAGCGTCTCTAACGTATTTGTACAAAAACCACAGTGCCTCATCAATGGAACCTGACACAACCCATATTCACAATCCAAAAGCAGCATCTACACAAACACAGACATGTATACATGCCCACATATACAAAAAAAAAAATGTATACACATACCTACAGAACCCTTATGAGAATCAGGACAGAGACGGGAAATAGACTCTTGTAGCTTCCTAGGTCGAGTGGAGAGAAGCGTGCTCATGAAACGGCCAACAGTGACGGAGACCATGGTTTCCGAATCCGATACCCGGAGAAATTCCTCCTCCGGTCGTTCCATTTTCCGTCAAATTTCCAGGTTTTCACCTTATGGATTGAGATTTCGCCGTCGGTTTCTCGAGCAATGTCACGAAGACGACGAAGAAGAATCGAGCTGAGCTTGAGCTTGAACCTTGGCATAACGACGTCGTTTCGACATCCATTTTTTACAAATGTAGGCTTCCACGTGGAATGTTTTCATTGGTTCATTTTGAGTCGAACTTTTTTTGTCTTCATTTGTTAAACTAAACTCCGAATGACTGAAGAAGAAAAAAACTTGAGAATTACTTAAAAACATCAGATTGTAACAAAGAAACCCTCTCTTCTCAGTATCTTCGCCGCCGCCGGTAATAGTAGCAGAGATGGCCACCGTCGGATCCAAAGCGCCGCCGCAATCTTTGTCTTTCTCCTTCTCCGTATCCCAACCCCTGAAAACCCTAACCCCAAAATCTCAATCCCTCCGATTTTCACGTCGCAAGCACAGTCCTTTGCGTTTGTCGATCAATGCATCCGTATCGGCGCCACCGCCCGCCGCGGCTGCAACCGCGACATCATCGGACTACAGAGTTGAGATTCTGTCGGAATCGCTTCCCTTTATCCAGAAATTCCGCGGGAAGACCATTGTTGTCAAGTACGGCGGAGCGGCCATGACTTCGCCGGAGCTCAAAGACTCCGTCGTCAGGGACCTCGTTCTCCTCGCATGCGTGGGTCTTCGTCCGATTCTCGTCCATGGTGGTGGCCCCGATATCAACCGCTACCTGAAACAGCTCAACATTCCGGCTGAGTTCCGCGACGGACTCCGTGTCACCGACGCAGCGACAATGGAGATTGTCTCCATGGTTCTTGTCGGGAAGGTCAATAAGAACCTTGTCTCGCTCATCAATGCCGCCGGAGCTACTGCGGTGGGGCTGTCGGGACACGACGGCCGTCTTCTCACCGCTCGCCCTGTCCCCAACTCGGCTCAGTTGGGTTTTGTCGGGGAGGTTTCTCGAGTGGACCCGTCAGTGCTTCGTCCTCTAGTTGATTACGGCCACATTCCGGTGATTGCGTCCGTCGCCGCCGACGAATTCGGCCAGGCATACAACATCAATGCCGACACAGTGGCCGGAGAACTCGCGGCGGCTCTCGGGGCGGAGAAGCTGATACTGCTGACTGACGTCGCCGGAATTCTGGAGAACAAGGACGACCCGAGCAGCTTGGTGAAAGAGATTGACATAAAAGGAGTGAAGAAGATGATTGAGGATGGGAAAGTTGCAGGAGGGATGATTCCAAAGGTAAGGTGTTGCATGAGGTCTCTTGCTCAGGGGGTGAGAACTGCGAGTATCATTGATGGACGTAGACAACATTCGTTGCTTCATGAGATTATGTCTGATGAAGGAGCTGGTACTATGATTACTGGGTAGTGTATGATCACCTTTACCAATCAAGTTCAGGGTTACCAATAAACTTGCAGCTGTCTTCCTGTTGTTCTTAAAAGACTGAGAGTTATGGTGGTTAGAGACCATAAGCTAATCCATATGCATGGTGTTTTGGTACATGATTTCACTTGGGTTTAGCTCTCTTCCTTAACCTTAAATGTTTTCGAAAATCCACCGATCTTGCTATCGTGCAGTTGCATATACACTGCAATGTCTGAGTTCTGTATAAGTAATTCAGAAGCCTAGCTGATTCCATGTGAAAGGATTGTGCACTGGTTTGGCCAACATCTGTGTTGTATCGCCCATTTTAGTTGCTCTTCTTGCCAAACCGGTCCTAAATGTACGGCCTCAGATGTCGTGATCTGAGCTATATTGCATGGTTGGTTGGTTGTCTGGTTGGCGAAAGACCTCATTTTCCTATTTTACATTGAAATAGATTTGATAGGTGCTATAACCCAAATGCATTCTCGTCTGATCTTGCATCCGAGGAATCTCACCGAGTTAAGCGTGGCCGGCTTAGAGATATGGAGTGATCTATTATTTCATATGGGCATATGCGGGACAGGAGGAGGTTGTGCTGATTTATATGTCAGATATCGATGAGAAAACCAGCCAAGATTCCATGTTAATCGGCTTGGTGATGCATTGAGCAATGCGGACATATCAAAGGTACTTGAACTATTTCTCTATGTAATGGAACAAGAAGATAAACTTGGGATTAAGGCGATGTTGATGTTGAACGGGAACGGTAGGAGAGCATTGTCCTGGTAGGAGATTGGTCTCTGAATTGGTGTCCTGAGTATAATCCACTTAGAAGATCTATACAAGCCAATAGCTTCTTTTACAGGTGAGATAAGTACGTTGCTTGGTATTGGCTATTATGTGACTTGAGATGTGAATGGTGTGATGCATCATGCGACTTAATAATAATAGGCATACCTTCATCTGTCATGTTCTTGTGTATGTTAGTATCTATAAGATCACGCTGATCATGAAAGCTTCCATTTACAAAAATCCCATGAGCGATACAGCAGCAGCCATTCTAGTTAATCCAACTTCACAGAGATCATTGGGCATGCTAACCACATAGACAGAGATCAAATCTCATATATATAGGGAAAACTCGGCTTAATTGGTTGAGTACTATATCTTTTAATCTCAAGATTGGGTTCGAAATTTCTTAACCCGTCTAGATATGAGCAATCTAGATTGATTTATATGTCTAATGTGGTTTGCAGGCTATTATCCGAGAGTTTGAGATTTTCCCGGGGTAATTGTTGCGGGTTCCCACTTTTTTTATAAAAAAAAAATCTCACATATATACAATAAGTATAATCATAAAAGGATGATAGAAAGAGAAGGAGAAGATCTTTTGCATCTTGTGTTTATATGCCTTTTGTTTTGGATGTTTCACTTTGATCAAAACGTCAACTTTTTTCCGTTCTTTTTTTATATAGAAAAAAAATTAAAAAAGAAAATAAATGAATATATTCTTCTGTCTTAACAGATAATTAAAAGCGAATTATATATATTCGGGGTGCAGGAGTACAACATCTAATCTAACATCTTATAAACGATTCTGTCGGAGCCGAACAAGCCCGTGCTTTTGCTCGGTCGCGTATCGTATCACACAAGGAAAAATCAGCGAACAAATGCGCCGAAAGTCGAAAAGGTGACGCCCATAAACCAATTTTCCACAAGTCCTTTGTCCCTTTCGATATATATATATATATATATATATATATATATATATATATACACACACATACCTAACAACAATATTTTTCTAGTATTTTATTTTAATATATATTTTTTTATGATTTGGTAGCCCGCCTTCCTGTTTTTATCAGGAAAAATTGCATATTCCTAAGCATTAAAAAAAGAAAACTTGGCAACATCGACGCACTCACACGTCAAATCTTGAATCATTTCCACGTCCCAAAGAACATCACTAGTCGCTCCATCCTACGAATAAAATAAAAATATATAATAATTTGAAAACCACGTAATATAATTAACAATATGGTTTGCGTAAACTAATCACCTCCATCGAGATTGTATCATGTTTAATTAACATCAAAGAGATCTATTCTTAAGGAGGAAAAAAAAAGAATATAACTTTTGATAATCACGATCATAATACCATTAACAATAATGATAATTATAATAATTATAAAGATAATGATTATGGAAGAAGCATTCTGACAAATCGAAAGAAGAAAAACCCAGAAGGTTTTTGTTTTTCTTTCTTCTCTCTACCATCTGCGAAAATTAATGGCCAAAAAATAAAGAACCTTCAAAAAACCCCATAATAATAATAATAATGATGATAACATAAATATATATATATATTATATATATATATAAGCTTCTCTTCTTTGTTAATGTTGTAGTTACCCTTCTAACACCGCCGCCGAAACATATCTCCCTGTCAGAAAAAGTTATCTACCAGAGAAGAGACCTCTGTCCAGTCCTTTAGCTTCCGTCTCTTCAGTTCTGCTGCGCCACGAGCTGATCGAGCTGCATTTGCTCAATCCAAGCTCCCAACACAGCACTATGATCCGCTGGCTCAGCCGTCACGTTCACGTTCATGTCACCGTTGTTCTCGGCGACTGAACCAGGACCCAGACCCGGACCTTGAACTGACGATGATGATGCCTTCTCTTTCATGTCGGTCGGGGACTCCTTCACGAGGGACTGAACCCACGACAAGTCAGGCTCCTCCCCATTCCCGAGCTCGAACGAAGAAGAACGCCGCAGCTTCCCCAACTCATCTGAGCTCACCGTCCAATCAGGTTTTCCATTGGAAGATCCGAGATTGGACCACGAGTTCACAGGGGAACCGACAATGGCGCTGGAGTTTGTCCGTAATTCTCGGGAGCTGAGGCTGCGGAACTGGAACTGCTGCTGCTTATCGCGCTGAGCCAACATCGAGGCCCGAGAACTCAACGGTGAGATTGGCTCCACTCCGCTACGGGGAGACATTCTTCCTCCAGCAAATGATGCCTGTAACAACGGGTGATCCACGTTTTTCGGTGAAAAGCTCGTATTGATCGGCGAAAGCATGCTTTGCTGCTGAAACTGGTTAAAGACTGCAGATTTGTGCATCGGCGAGTAAACTGCAGAAGCCAATGCTGGGTCGGCAAACCGTGGAGAAGAAGAGCTCTCTGCCGAGAAAAGATCATCGAGATTCGATGGATTCATGGGTTTCATCCGACCGGAACGACTCAAAGAATTGGAACTCAGCCCGGAAAACTCGTTCAGGAGTTGCTGCCGGTCATAATCAGGTAACATGTTGAAGTCTTCAGCAAGGATGTCTCTGGCATTGAGAGAAGACCTCAGCCGGCTTGACTGGAAATTGCTTCCGGGGAGGTGCAAGGCCGGGACATTGGGTTGCGGCCACGCCATGTTACCGTTGCCAGCTCCCGACGGGGACATGGGAGGAGTGAACGGTGATGGAGACATCACAGAAACAGACGATGGAGAGCCCGGGAGGAGACTCATAGCCGCGGCAAAATCAGCACTTGAACGAGGGGATGGAATGGCTGAACCTGTCGATGCGTACAAAGGCCGGAGTTCTTCCGGTGTATGCGCAAAGAAACACACACGTCTAGCACAGCCCGTCCCGTCCTTGCAAAGACGAGTCCGATACTGAGCCGGGTGGAGCCAGCACTCAAACACACCATGCGCATATTCGCACATGTCTCCCCGCCTACAAGCCCCTTTCCTAAAATCAGGGCAAGGAACGCAGCTGTAATGGAACTTCCTCGGGTCCCTTCTCCTTGCGTTTTCACCCGGATGAACAAACGGACACTCGGTCCAATCATGGGAGTAAGCCCGTGAGCAAGGACGGACCTTAAAGGAATACATCCGGAATTCATCAGTGGAGTATATGCTGTTTTTGATATCGGGAAGAGACGGGTCAACAGGATACTCTTTCTTGGCATCACTCGACTTGAACTTCAATGGAGAATCCTGACCATTCTCCAAAGAAGGAGAAGGAGGCGGAGAAGAACCCGAATGAGGAATATTCGTAACCACATGTAATTTCCGGTCAGCGGTGGTTGAACCATAAGCCGAGAGAAGCTCCTGAAGGATGAACTTGACACCCTCGAGCTTAGGAGGAACCACGATAACATCCCCGGCTCGTTGACCATTACCGTCAAACAGGTTAGGATCAGCACCTGCAGCAAGAAGCAGCCTGACCACTTCCACAGCATTCACCGCTCCTCCAGAAGCAGCACAGTGAAGGGCAGTGGTCTTGTCATTACCGCAAGTGCGGTTCACATCAGCATCAGACAAGGAAATGATCAGTTTAATCACATCGATACTTCCGTAAGTTGCAGCAACCATCAATGGCGTCCTTTGGTCATTGACCATAGCCTTTGAACCTTTCTGCCTGCCATACCAGAGACCCACCTCGTCTATACAACAAGGGTCTCTCTCCAGAGACAACCTGAAACCTTCGACGTCGTTGTTGGCCGCCAGTTCGAGCAGGCTAGCGAAAGTATCTTCGGTTTCGACAGTCAAGTGATTCATGTCTGGGTAAGGAACAAAATCGTTATCCTCGAAGAAACCAGGCGATGAAGAACTAGAAGACAGGATCAGGCTTGATCTATCTGATTCACAGCACATACTTCCATCTGCAGAATAGGGTTCTGAAATCATAATCAAAAGGTTCACAAACTTGAATCAGGAAATGCAGTGATGGATGCAATAAAACGAATTTGAGCGTTATTACAGTCAAAGAACAAAAATCAGAGCAGAAGCCATGACCATAAACCAGAACAAGACAGGAATCAAACTTAACACAGATGTGAAAGAATTCCAAAAAAAAAGTTGGAGAGAAACGAACAAGTGGTGTTTCTCCCAAACACTTTCCCTACAAAATCTC